GATATCCAAATTTAAATTTGCCAGATCTTTAATTTTCCTACAAATGTTTTCCTTGATTTACAGATAATCCTTTCTTTAATGCAAAATAAATTAATAAGTAAATTTAGCGATTAAATTGATTAAAGGTAATTTTTGTTTGGTAAGATATAATGTTACTTTTACATTTTTTCCAGTCATAAAAGTTTTTAAAATTTGTAAATTTTATACTGACAAAATATATTTATATTAGAAAAGAAAGAGATGTTTATTTCAAAAAAAGGAAAAAAAGAAAAACTGTAACACCACGGATACTGCTAGAAACAAAGGAAAGTGAGATAGAATGTTGAAAAGATGTCACATCCTAAAATTTCTATTCAAATTAGGTTTTCTGATAAAGAAATTATACATTGTGTCATAACAAGATGACATTTTAAGCTTTATTTTGGTTGGCAATAGAAATTCAAAATTGTTATTTGCTAAATTTCCAATCTAAATTAAGCCTTTAACCTCGGAAGGAAATATAATGAAATAAGTAGGAATAAATCCATAGAATCATTCACAATACTACATGATATAAAGTGTTTTAAGATTTCCCGTTGAGCAGAGAGGGAGATGACAAATGGTTTTAGACATATTTGTCAAATATTTAAAGCTATAATTGCTGTCGTGGCTAGGCTTTGCGAACGAAGATATGGAATGCGTTGTACCCATACTTGCTGCAAACGCGCTGATGACTGAAAAGGCCAATGCGGGATAAGCAAGTCTGATTGCAAAAAACATAACAAAAAATCTTATTGGGCGGTATTGGCGAGGTGCGGTTTTTTTCTGCCTTTTCTGCTTTTCTCCAGGATGATTCTATTTGCCTTCTCAAAGAAAGGAACAACATTATAAATGATGTGTTTCCATATCTTCGCGATTCGAGACTGGAGTAGGCCATTAGTGGTAGTGTATATGGCCAAAGTTGAAGTATTGTTTCAGGGACTCTTTGTATCCACTTTTTGGACTCTTTTACCGAAGTCGGTGGTAAAAAATCGTCATCAAATTCGTCAAATTCATCATCGAGCACATCCTAGGAGGCGTTGGCTGTCCAGTTTTAAGACGTTCTCAGCCCAGCGTAGCTGCGTCTCCTCAATACTGATGAGCCCTCCTGTTCGAGAGTAGTAACATTAGTCACGTAGTAAGACCAGTGGATGTTTGGACTGTATGACGACAGCCCTGGTGGAAGAGTTCGAGAAGTCACAGATGGTGCCGTAGATGATCTATGCATGATTCAAACCCATATAAAAGAGTAAATGAGTAGAGCGGCTTTATAGATGTTAATTTGTACTAATTACCCTCAAAACTGAGACATTTATCTCCCTTATAATCATTTATAATGTTACATGATAGAAAGTGTTTTAAGATTTCCCGTTGAGCAGGACAGGATGATGATAAATAGTTTTAAAACATATTTATCAAAAATTCCAAGCTATCAACCTTTATGATATGATTAATGTACAAGAATATATGCAATTTGTCATTGCAAATTATCAAGTATACGTAAAGAAATTTAACCGTATGTTTATCATAATGTTCATTTAGGAAAAATGGATGAAATTATTCTTGAACATGGCTATTAATCCGTTTGTGTATATTGCTGTTAAATTACATGATTTCGTTGGTAAAAATGACTGTAATTATTAATTGATACACATAACTCACAATACCAATGGTTCATTTGAATTATGGTAATGATAACTTATCGTTTAAGCATCAGTAAGATGAAAAAGGAAAAAAAATTTCAATCAAATTAATTGACCCGTTATTAACAATTTATTGAGATGGTTAGTACTTCAGAATGCAGCTGCAAGCAATTGCATGTCTTGATCAAATAGTGTGTGCAAAGAGCGTCTGTAACGCTGTTGTGGACAATCATAGATGGATCGATTAAACAAATATTGATGTTTTGAAAATGAAAGGTTCGAATGTAGAAATATAAATGGGCAATTATCGATGAGCAATGCATGTTACTTACTGTTACTTCTTCCTCCCTTTGATTGCATGCAGTTTGATCATTGATAGCGGGTATGTATTATCAGTTCAAGTTAAACATAATTGTATAATTTTATTTGAATAACAAATTGAGAAACGAACAAAGCATAGTAATTGAAGTGATGTTGTATTCCTTTGCAATACCTTTAAATTTGATAAATTTCAATTTATATAAATTTAGTGCTGAAAATTATGGGAATAATTTCGATTGAATTATCTTCATATAATTTCGAAAAATTTTTGACAGTAGCCTTTAGTTTTGGCGAAATTTTTTGTTGGAATTTAGTTTTTAAGTTTTTTTTCCCTCTCCCTCAAATAAGCCACTTTTAATTGCATGTAATTAAATTATTCAGTTTTGTTATTTAGAATTTACATATGATCACTTGCAGTAGTATTTCCAATGACACATCTTTATGATTCGGTACCTGACAATTTGTCAACTGAAATTTATTCTTTTTCAGAGAACGTTTGCTACCGGAAGTCAGGTTAGTGCTTATTGTATTCAATGATTTAGAATTCTCGAGTACACGTAACGATTCAAAAGTTGACGAATAATTTATCACTCCAGTATTTATCTGCTTATAAGTCACTTTATGCAATTAGCATATTCAGGTAACAGAGGTATTCGTTCCATGCGCTATTACGATAGCGCCATTTTTGAAATATTGCTTTTGTGTAAAATGTACTTCATATTAGATATGAATTCCACATTCAGTCCAAAAGATATCAACTTGAGCAGAATTCGAAATTGAGCAGAATAATTTCTCATATTTAGAAACCTTTCCGGAGGTAAAGCAACCAGCGGTGATAATAAAACAAATCAGGATGTGTTACGATTAATCACTAGTTACATACGTGATGGATATGCGATACGTAAAATTGAAGCGTTCAACGATCGGATTTATCTTACTCGATATCGACGCAATTATTGGCTGGGAACAAAATATTACTATATGGTACTTTATTCGATTTTTAAGAAATTTTGAGTACATATATAATTTATTCCTTAGTTTTTTATTTTAGGATAATTTTAACTATTTACCAACAAGAGACAGCTGTTTGTATCGTATGGATTCAAATGAACGAAAGAATTTGGAATACGTAGATGGAACTCCCATATATGATATTATTTATCAGTAAGCGTTTGTAAAATTTATGAAATGTTCATTTTAGCATTTTAATTAAAAGGATAAGATAAGAACTTTTATCTAAAATCATTCAAATTTACAGCGGATAATTAATTTACTATATATGATCTTCGCTCACCTTTACTTTGGAAATTTTAATAATAAAATTAAGTCAGATTTATTTAGATGTCAACGATATGTTCAGTATTGCTGCGGGTTAACCTGTTGTTTGGATGAATTCAGTAAAGATTTCCATTCATCGTCCCTTTATAATGAAATTCTCAGTCCACGGAATACATCGCCAACTTTTCAATCTCGACTACCTATCTTTTCTTGTTTGATTCTTGCACTTTTTCACTTGCATATTTGAAATAAAGGATGTGACAGTTCGACTGTTTAACTAACTTTATATTTTGATATTTTTATATTTTGCATTTTTTTGTATTTTAAATTTTGATATTTTCTATATTTTGATATTAATATAGCTATAACTGTAATGTGTTTTTTTTTTTTGCATTAATTGTTTTTTCTATATTGCTCATTTGCATTCAAAATATTTTCATTTAATTTTAAGTAATCGCTCACTTTTCATATATGTGTCATGCAATTACACAGCGATCTAGTAAATTTATGCATTGATAATTTCATGAACTAATTTAAATTGAACTTTTCAAAGATTAGGAAACTTGAGTTTATATATGTTTGTATTTGCTTACAACAAGCAACTTTCGAATGTGAACAATTTATTTTTTTAGCAACTGAAATCGATTCATTGGAATATCTGTGGTTTCTCATCAGTGAATTGATTCCCCTTTACCTTGTATCTGATCACTAATTCTGTCGGCAAAAAGAAAAGTTATGATATTGTAGAAATTCATGAGAAATATATTTAATTTATATTGCCTAATTATTTGTTTGCATATTAAATGTTAATATTAAGAAATATTGTCCGGTAGATTTCAAGAACAAACAGCCGAAAGAAGATTATTAAATTACAAAGTTTATTATTTGCCGAGTAAAATGTGAATTTTAGTCACATTAACTGGGAAATTCATATTTGAAGATGCCGCAATTAAATTAAAAATAATTCGTTAAATATAGAAATTGTAAAATTGAAGAAAATTTTTTCTTAAAATTAAGTATAATATGATAGTGATGAAGTGCTGTACTTTGTTTGTCATATTTCTGGAATAAATCAACCAGATAATTGCACTTAATACTCTGTAATAAATCTAATTATACAAAGCTTGCATTAATATGCCATTAGTTCGGGCAGTGTTAACACATTTTGGATGATACCTGAGATGGTAGTATTGTCATATTTTAGACGTTAATGGGGAATTTTGGATGTTACATGGGATTATCATTTGGACATTATCTGAGGGATTTGCATCTATTTCTAAGCAAGTATCATGACAACAAAAGGAACCAATTTGCAGAAAGCAGGCGTAAAGAGGATGAACTTTAAAGTTGTTGTGGCGCAAATGTTCCAGTACTGGTTGTTTGCCAACTTGAGAGGAATGAGCGAGATGTTGCGAAAGAAGGAATTACGACAAGATGGAATATCTGTGGATAGAAATCAAAAGAAGGGTAAGGGGAAAGGAGAAGAGGAGGGATATATTTGATATAATCCGTCATTGTTTATGGGTGGTTTTGAAAAGTGGGCCATTGTTTGTGACCTAAATGATTTTAGATTTTAGGTTGATCAAAAATTCTAGTTGATTAATGCCTGTTGTGTCTTGATTTGTCGGTTATGTACCGGCAGCTAATCAGTAATTTTGTCTTACTCAATGTTATTGTATGCTTGATACACTCCAAAGGTATTTTTTTTTTGTTTTCTTTTTTTTCTTTTCTTTTAACAGAATATTCAAATTAAATGAAACCACTCAGCAAGATAATTCCACTGTTATCAGTTTTAACAAATCAAATTTTACATTTGATTGCCAGTTTGGATATAAGAAGTTTTTTTTTCTTTTTTTTGATATAAGAAGAAGCCAGTTTGGACAACATTTTGAAGCTAACAATGCTTGGATATGTTTTATCCTTTTTTTTTCGAAGTAGATACTTCAATTTAATTGGTAGCATCTTTTAATAAACATACCTATACATCTGACAACCATTTCATTGTTTCTTAGTTTAAACTATCCACGACAAGTTGCATGAAACTAAGGGCTATTCATGTTATTCTTAACATTTTAATACTGTCACAATTACCTGCTGGTCACTCTACTACTGACGTTACTGATGCTTGTGACATTCCGTTATTCCCTGAATACAAAGGAGGTGGTGGACTTGTACACTTCATAAGATTATCTTTCGGTGATTTTTCTAATTTCTTTACCACAGAAAGGAATTCATTTGATGGATGTCTGAGATGTGCCAAATTTCGGAACATCCAAAATTATTTCAAAAAGAAATAAAAAAAAAAAAAGAAAAATTAAGTACAAAAATGGTTCCTAAATTTGGAATTGTAGATCTCACAACTGAATTTTGAATAAATTTCCGTGTTCTCTTAACTTTTGCCTGAAGCAAAAAAAAGATTACGATTGAAGTTTACATTACAAGACCGAACTCATTTCAATAACTGACAATTTTATTGAAGTCATACTAACTGCAGAATATGCCAAATTGTATTGTCCGAATTTGCAACTGCCTGAAATGGACGATAATGGTGCCGTAAAACAATGTCTACCAGGTTCATTTTCATAAATTTCAGCTATATTTGATAATTGTTTTGACTCGAATTCTTGAACTCGAATATTCGAATATTTCTTGAACCTGAATATTTTTTTCCACATGTGTTAAATCTATTTGGAACTAAAAATTCTAACTGAATCACTTAAAATTTCGATATCCCTGGTTTTCTGTTTGAAGATTCATGCGATATTTCAGGGCACGGAGAATTATGTGGATTAGGATATTCCTGTTATTTTTCCGGAACAAATTATCAGTGTTGTCCAACAGAGGAAGAAATTAATTTGGATTCTATTCTTGAATGCCCCTCACCTAGTATTACAATCCTCACAGATGCCGGATTGCCTCTCACTTGCACTCCCGATCTCCACGATTGCCCAGAAGTAGGTAACTCACATGACACGCTGCGTGAGAGTTATTGAGTTCAAATTATTTATTCGCTTTAGAGTTTTTTTTTTGATTCTCCGCAGGAATTCCTCACTCCTCAGATTTTCCACTTCCTTCATCATCCTTATTTGAAAATTGTTTCCATCACTAAACTGCATTAAAATTGTATTGGAATGCTGCAAATATTGAAATTTAATTCATCAATAAAAGGAAAACTAATTTCTAGAGTTCCATGCAATGTCTTAACATCGGGAAACATTCGATATGTTGCGAAGGAATATCATCCATTATTGAGGCATCTCATAATGCTTTTTCACCAAAGGAACTAAATTCTCCGGATAAGACAATTCAGCCAATTGCATTGAGTAATGAACTTGTCAATGCACCCAATTTAGAGTGTCCCGAACCTGCCTTCACTATACTTGATGGCAATGGGGATCCAATATCATGTAATGAAGAAGATTGCGCTCATCAAGTAATGTCATAGTAACATTTGAGAGGATTTTAAAAAATTTATAATAATCGATAAATATTTGGTGTAACTCTATATAGTCTTCCCGACACTCCCACCCATCATCAGTGGGTATAGTTCTATCATGCAAAGTAGCATAGTACAAATTAAAATAATTAAGAGTCTGGGATAAGTCAAGAAATCCATTCATACGTTCGAAGTTAGCGTCTCATTAGCATTAAAAACCATTAATAAAACGATAACATCCGAAGATGAATGATATTGATGAGAGATTAGTGATATTAAACTATTCCTCACTTATAGTGTATAACAATTTGGTATAATTTATGCCGAAATATATTATTACTTTCAATTTTCATAACTTTATTTCAGACAGGACGTTTTTGCTATAAACCACTGAATACACCGATATGTTGTGAAGGTGAAGAGAGAACTAGTGATGATGAAACACTGATCAAGAAAATCTTGAAAGGTAATAAACGCGAGAAAGAAGGAAGCATTGGATGGAGTGTCTTGAGATATACGCCATTGACAACCGCACAACGTCATTTGCACCAAAATGAACTACCACAAAATGACAATCAATTAGGCATTGATGTATCAAATGTCGCTAGATCACTGATTCTTGACGGAGGCACTTCTGAGGTGGTTATTTTGTTCAAATCTTCAACAAACATATCCTTGAATTTCAGACAAATGTGATTCAAGTATATATCTTTTTTCTTTTTAAATTTTCATTCACACATTAGCAGTCATAAATGATACTAATTTATACATCGTACAGTTCATCTTTCAAACCAGCTATTTTTAGATTCGATAACAAGAAATACTGACGACATTTCTAATTTTGGGAAAATGTGTGTAATTGGAGATTTCAAATACGCTTTAAAATATTCTAAACGAAATTTGAAATTATTCATTGAAATCTGCAGGAGCAAAAGTTTTGTAGGCAAAACAAACTAATTTGGAAATAATATCGCCAATTAGGGATGAATTAGTCAGATATTCGGAAGAAAGACAAATTGATAATCGATACAAGAATCCTCAGCAATCAATTGCATCTGATAATGCGAAGACATCGCAAACAACTACTGCTACCTCAACTACAACTACCACTACCACTACTACCACAACGACAATAATAATGCCAGCAGTTATCACTTCGACAACATCAGAACCTCAACTGTTCGAGAAATCGAATGTAAGTTCTGTTTGAAGTGAATAAATGAACTTTTTTCTCTACATAACAATTCCAGCTGGCTCTTGCTAGTCTTAATTAATGAAATGGAAATATCTCCCCCCTTAGGAGTTATTTAATTAAGGAAATGCTACAAGAATGAATAATACATGCTAATCTGCTAGATGACATCGACAAATGCAAAGGAGGTGAGGATATTTTTAACAAGGACATATGTTATCGACTTCAACAAAGCGAACACAATATCCGTTACATACAAATGAATGAATGTTCAATCCTTCTGATAATTTTATAGAAAATTCATCACAAAGGCTTGTTATTTCCACCCGGGAAATCTCAAGTAGAAACAGTTCGATACAAGCCGCACAATGCTGGAGGATATGCTGTTTCACAAGCATTTTCATCAAAAGTCCGTCGTGCACCAAATGACTTACGAGCTTTGGCACGAGAATATCTTCTCGAATATATTAGACGTGGATGGCCTTATAGTGATGAATTTTATCGAAGTTACAGTGAGTTCTACACTATTTAAATCTGGAAGGATTTTGCTGAAAAGAAATTTAGCATAGACTCATTTTGTTGTGATCTTTGCATTTTGCTTCAACAATGATTTCTTTTAAAAAAAAAGCGCTGGCGTCCCAGAAGTCACTTGTGCTGAACTAAACTTTTCTTTTAGAAAAACAGGCATATCTGCGTTTTGTTAAACCAGGTATCGTAAGTGTTGAGAGAATAACGGAAGAATGGTAGTGCAATTGCCTCATGCCAAGCAGATAATTAATCACAAGATCCAATATTTCAAAGTATATATTGCAGCACCACTTGATTCTCAATCTGATCAAGAAGACGAAATTATTTTCCATGGACAAACTTGAAAAGTGGCTCGCGCTTATTACTGTTCTGTCACAGTTGTTTTACACTTTGTTGTAATAAATTGTATTCCTTTCTTTCCTCTTAAAAATTCAGAAGCAGTGTTGGAAAAGTTTTTTTTCGATAAAAATGAATCACAAAATAAGCTATGGATCTCCATGCGACCAAGATTTCAACAAGAAGCAAAATCATCGCAAATGATGACAGAAGCCTCAAAAATAAATTTGATCTTTGTCACGTTAGATTCCAACATCGAGATTAATGGATGAACCACTTTCGGAACTAGGAACAGTGTGCCCTCAAGCTTTTTTACAGAAATTTTCGTCTGCGTATATTTGTATAACGTAACTTTTTAGAAAGCAAGCAGATATTCAGTTGATCGTATTACCAAGATCGCATTGTGGTAATTCAACATTCCATGCAAATATATGCCCAATGATAACATCTGATCCGGTTTGAGAGTCGATGAGTGCAGAAGCACTGCGGACATATATGAAGTTTGAGCAGAAACTGCGAGGAATCAATGATTCAGGCCACTTAGCCTGAATCACTGAAAGCTTCATAAGTAGCTGAAATGAATTAACCGACCCGAGCAAATCATTATCATTCACCCAAAAGCAGGATCACATATATGTCATTACAAAACATGCGGTTGCACCATCGTCACGAGCTAACTAAAATGTTTGAATATCACTATTCTTGTACATTGAATAACTGTAATCAGTTCTATCGTGGGAAGTAGAAAACGATCGACGCTCAATTTACCTGCTGTCTAGTCGAATAATTTGACCTAACTCCAATCGACCACATTATTCCATCCCACTCAATATAAACAAATCATCCCGCCAGTATCTGCTTCTACGAATATAACAGTTATCATTTAATCAATAATGTTACCTATTCAATAGAGACAAACTAGAATTCTTTTCTCAGTCGATATCATAAGCTACTGGACAAGTTATCGTTGTAGATATCACACGCTCCGTAGCCATGTTTAAATCGTTCTTAACGATACCACTTCGGACATATGCACCCGATTGACACGTTGTCCCATGTTACCACGAAACGAGCCAGTCATTACCGGGAAAAACTCACACATCAGCCTTAAAGACACCCCCCACATGTATGTCTGTCATTGTCTGCCATGCAACACTATCTGAGGTCATAATGCAACAGCACGTCACAAACAATTTTATCCATTCGTTAAATCCTTTGACTTCTACAGTGTTTTTTTCTCCGGGTGTTGTTGGTGTAGTGGTGATTTTTTCGTAGAGCAATCCTATATTGTTACACTACCGATGTCATTGATGTAATCTGCTATGGAAGTATCGTTTCCTGGAAGACGTGTGCAAAAGTGTTTGATAGGAATAGAACTATAAGATCCTGACACGTTTACAAGGATTACTTGCAGTTTTCCTACCTCTTTCTTCCTCTAACATGCTTCTCTTTTATCGTTTCCGATCTAAGAAAGTTTTAACACCATCGTTTAGGATACTATTTCTATCCGTCTTTCACTTAACGCGTGTCAAGCCGTCGATGACATAGCTGAGTAGACGTAAATTATATCAGCTTCAAAGTGCATCGCATGTTTGCGTCATAATGTCGTCATAAATTGTGTTAATTTCACTCTAGGAGTGGTGAAAAGAAGTTCTAACATCGAGTAATGGGTAATTCTGGGAGCAAAATTAACTTTCGCAAAGCAGTGATCGAACTTACATCGAAGAAATCGAAAGTGGAAGAGGATGCATTCTGGGAAGAGTTATGGGCTTCTAATATAAACAGTGCTGCGGATGTTTTTGCATTGATAACAGCGGACGATGTTAGTTCGATACTTTTGGAAATTATTTGATCTGGCCAATAAAGGTCGGAGAAATTTTCTAATAATAACAAGTCTTCCAGAACAGATAGGTAATAATGGCCAGTAACATAGGAAAACTAGCGTAATATATCTATTGGATATCATTTTTTCCAAAATAAGTTTTTAACTATCCTCATTTCGAGGATATTTTCAGGTCCGTTCATTGCGTGATAATTCTCCAAACAATCTGGCAGCTTTATGTTATAAAACTGTGGGTCGAATAACGACAGCGTGTAATTCTCCTTCATCCATGTCGTCAACAAAAGTATTTTGGATTACTTCTGTTCGTTCTTAAATTTCGTGAGGAAAATCCCTTCAACTTCCGTCAGGAAGTAAAGTCATGGGTCAATACGCATAAGTTTTGGATTGTTTAAATACTTTTCGGCTTAGTCAAATTTATGCTACTTACCCGAATTATGAAGAAGTTTAGAATGCAATCCTGTGAAGTTTATTCACTTATTTTTTGATCCGGAAGCACAAAGCCTATTATTAGGTACTGAATTGTGTACGACTTCTAACAAGAGTTTGTCCATATTTATTCGAAGATTCGGACTGGAAAAATTTCTTTTGGTCGGTACCACCTGCAGAAGAAAACGAGCAGTTTCCCCATCAGCCATTGGCATGCACACTGGTATCTGCGCTTACCGATCTACTCTTTTGTCCCGAATTCACCGTTTCATCTCTTAGAAGCCAACCGGTACTTTTCTATGCATATGAAATATTTTAATGAAAGGAAGCAGGATATATGATGGTCATGGAGGATTTGTTTTTCCTGTTTACTCTCCACTGTCATGTAAAATTAATATTCGAACTAGCCACTGGTTTTTTGGTAGTTTACAGATTATTTTTATTGGTCCTAACTTTCTGACGGCGAAATCAGCAAATTTGAGATGGAGAAACTAAGACAGCACTACAATCATCATTTTAATTTTTCAGGAAGGGCCGGATGATCTAAGTGCGATTGACAGCTGCGAATATATATGGGAGGCTGGAGTTGGTTTTGCGACAAGACCACCGCAAATAGCAGAACATGATCAACGACGGACTGAAATTCTCAAACTTTTACTCGCTTGTTTTTCAGAAGTCATTTATGTCCCAGATATTGGTGAGATTTAAGTCAAAGATGTATGATTTCATACAGTTGAGGGAGGTATTTGTTACCGCTAGTCCAGCTTTAGAAATTATCAAGTTTATGGCAGTCATTAATAACACATCCAAAATTTTTTAAGTCAGGTTTGGATTACGGTGGCGAAGTGTTTTCTTAATTTCAGATGAAAATAGAATGAGATGGATAGCGAGATTTACATCTGCAGAAAATCGTCATGTTCTACCACTTTTTACTTCTTTGCTGAATGTAGTTTGCGCATATGATCCGATCGGTTACGGCGTACCTTATAATTATTTACTTTTCACGGATAGCAGAGAACCACTTATGCAGACTGCATTACAAGTGCTTATTGTGTGCTTGGATAGTGAGACACAGTCATCTGACAAGGTAAAGGTCTCTTCGGAAAATTTTGAAAGTTAGCAGTTCAAACCCATGGTTTGTATATTGGAACCAATTTCAGAAAAACGAGTACGCAGACAATTTTTTCATTAATTATTTGTCAAGAATTCATCGTGAGGAGGACTTTGAATTTATGTTAAAAGGCATGACTCGTTTACTGACAAATCCGTTAGTTGCCACCTATCTTCCGAGTTCTACCAAGAAAATAACATGTCATCAGGAACTTCTCGTTTTGCTCTGGAAATGCTGCGAATACAATCAGGTAGTGGTTCATGTCTGTGATTCTTTGACAAACACGGTACATCCTAATTTTTATGCACGGTTCATGATTCTGCACAGTATTTTGAAACGTTGTATTTCAGAAATTTTTAAATCAAATTTCAGAAATTCATGTTTTATTTATTGAAAACAAGTGATGTTCTGGAAGTGCTTGTTCCGATATTATTTCACATTAGTGCTTCTCGCAATGATCCAGGTATGAGAAACGAAATATTTCTGGAATTAATTATGTTAAAGCCTTCAGGAGGGAGGTTAGATGAATGTGTTATATTTTTACTGAACATAATTTGCAGCTCATGTTGGTTTGATACATATGGGTGTTTTCATTATTCTATTGTTAAGTGGTGAGCGAAACTTTGGTGTACGTTTAAATAAACCCTACACTCCACGGACAGCTATCGATGTGCAGTCATTCACTGGAACACATGCAGATTTGCTTATCCTTGTATGTTGTTAGGGTTGAACTCTCAAGTATTGGTATTTGAAAAGTGGATTTAGAATAATTTTGTTATGAAATATCAGTTGTGTGGAAGCATTCTTCTATTTTTTATCATGTTCTATTCTTTTACATTACTTGCTTTTGATTTCTACGGTTTTAATAGCCGTTCATAATCAATTCTACCTTCACCTGCAGTGGATTGCGGTTTTTTTATCCTTTTCTTTGTTTTGTTATATGAATCACATTAATACAGAGGTCTTCTGTTCTTCAGTACATCGCTTTCAATATTATCAAAGTGTTGCTGCACATGTATATATGAATGATGCATGCAGATTGCAAACTATGCGATATATCCAGTATATTTGTATGAAGAATGGACTGTTGCAGGTGTTCCACAAGCTGATAACCACTGGCAATCACCGATTGCAGACACTTTTCGACTGTCTTTTAACAATTATTGTGAATGGTTTGTTTTACCTTGCATTGTCGGATAAGTATTAAAAATAATATTGAGATGAGATAAAGATCGAGATAATGAGACAGTGAATGAGGTAATGTAATAGATGAATAGTCTTGCAGACTGCATAAATTATGAATAGCATAGCTTCATTTACTATTTTCTTTAATGTATCGAGTATTCCACTACTTTTTCTATAACAACGTTGCAATACTTAGAGTCTAACTTAAATCTTAATTTCCTGACTATTGTTTTGCTCAGCTTTTTGTTGGGGTGTAAGTGTTCATTAGTGACGATGGCTTGATAGCTCTGTTTTTTTTTTTTTTTGCAGTGTCACCGTATTTGAAGTCCATTTCGATGGTTGCTGCTAATAAGCTTATTCATCTTATTGAGGCTTTTTCAACTCCCTGGTTTTTGTTTTCATCACCGACAAATCATCTTCTTATTTTTTTCCTTCTTGAAGTTCTCAATAATATTATTCAATATCAATTCGATGGTACTGTTTAAATATAACTTCCCTTCATTCTGAAGATTTTATTTATTAATAGTACAGAAGTTGTTGACAAAAGAAGTCTAACACATGATAAGTCTCAGAAAACATTTTGATCAAATCGATAAGAATACTCATGCGTCATGTACATGTAGTAGTATACCTTCAGCACCAATTCTTTTTAACTGGTATATATTTAGGCAATTCAAATTTGGTGTATACTATCATTCGAAAGCGCCAAGTATTTTATCAGCTGGCAAATCTTTCATCTGATTCGACATATATCATGAAAATGCTGCAGGGGCGCAAAGGTCGTAAAAGTGGTGTGATTACTGAATCCAAGTCATCAATTACTACAGGAAAACCTGTTGGTGGTAAGTTTTGATACACCGAATTAACATTTGTTTCCCTTTTTCAAAGGCAATTTCATGTGTATTTTATTTTCATTTTTTGAATTTTAGCAGACTAAGAAGTTGCCTGATGTTTTTAAATTAACATCAATTAATGTTGCAGTATCCATCAGCAGTTTAGCAGGGGGCAGTGTAAAATAGCTTGTTAAACGGCTGATATTGGTTTCTAAGGATTGATCTCGTGTATCTAGCCTACAACTATAGAGGCGACACAACAATCTGATTAGGTACGTGTGCTGCAGTGATAGAGTGATTATCAGTGTGAGATATTAGTACAAAACTGAATGTTATAGTCGTGGAGAACAAGGCAAACATAAAGGCTACTTTGGCTGAAACGCCGCAAGTATCAACAATGACAGAAAAAGGCATGAACGATTTGGGACATGAAAGTGACGATGTACAGGAAGGATGGGTGGCAACAACGGATTGGGTAGAATCGTGGAAAAGTAAACTACCCCTTCAAACGGTGATGAGACTTCTGCAAGTTCTTGTACCACAAGTTGAGAAGATTTGCATTGATAAGTAAGTTTTTCATTTGAAGTAAAATAAATTTGAGATTTTACTTATAAATACAGTATGAAAACTGGAAGTTTGGACTTTCGATTTCAACTTTTCCTTCAAGGCATCATTTTGGATTGCGTAAGATAGCTCTAGAACTGACGTATTTTTCAAATATTTAATTTGTTTTGTTCAAAATGGAATATTTAATTTTCAGAGGTTTAACAGATGAAAGCGAAATCCTGAAATTCCTGCAGCATGGGACCTTGGTAGGATTGCTACCCGTTCCTCATCCTATACTTATTAGGAAATATCAGGCTAACGCTGGTACCAATCACTGGTTTCGGACGTATTTGTGGGGAGTCATCTATTTGAGGTATATTTTTGAGCTGCTTTAAACAATAATCAATTGTTTGACGAATTTCGTTATCGAGTATCAAATTTTATGAACTGCGGACATTTAATAGGTTTTTTTTCCTCTTCACAAGTTTTGTGCAGATTCAAAGGGATGTTGGTCATAAGTAAAGAAAATTCATTTTTGAATTGAAACGCAATATTTTTGCATAAATATCATGGTTATCATTTAAATTATTTCCCATGCTTTTTAGAAATATCGATCCACCAATTTGGTATGATACCAATGTTAGATTGTTCGAAATCCAGAAAGCCTAAAATTCCCATCCTTTCTTTTGAGGTCTTTGTTACGAATGGTTGTATTGAAATTTTCCTGTTATTGTTTTCGTTGACGAATGGGAAAAAATTGTCTGAAAAAAGAGTGTACCTTCTCAACCAGTGTTTTACTTCACTAATTCAACTTTTCACATCAAAAAACTAGATGGTTAACTGATATCATTTCACGCTATAGCGGTGCTGAGTTGTCTGACTTGCAATTATTTCTTGGTTTTGTGCGATCAGGATTATAAGCTGTATAGCTTGATGTAAAATGAGGTGATGTAAAATGCGGTGTAAGTTCTTAAGGTTGTGCTATGATTGTTTTTTCTTTCTCGGTGTATGTATTATCCATAATACAGACGAATTCTTTGTAATTTCTTTCTACTTCAGCAGCCTTTTTGTGGGAACATCCAATAATTTATTCCTCATATCTCAGATATGATGCGTATTGTATTTCCTTCCAGTGAATTGAGCATTTCTCCGCTTATTATTAGGCTTGACAGGATTGCGTTTCACGTCCAAATGTTTTTCCCATCATCTAGGATACTTAGTTTGATGTTTGTGTAGTTTGGTTTACAAGCTTTGTCATCTAACAAAACAATATTAGGTCGTATTTGATTGGTACCATTCTTTGAAATCACTGGAACCTAGTTTACTGTCCACTATCTTTCTTTGCTTTCTTGTTTCCTTTCCGAAAACTAAACCTGTAGTCTGGTCTTAAACTTATTGCATATTTGTATTTGAAATAAAATTAGGTTTTTTTTTGCCTTAATTATCATACGAGTTATTCACAAGTTATGTCATTTCATTGAAGCTGTAAGATGCGGTTAGGTACAACGTATACATTTACTGTGTAGCGAATTTCGTACTAAATTTGCTGGCCATTTATTAACCGAAAGTTATCACTGATGGGAAGGAATGATGTTCATGGATGGAGTAAATATACAAAGCGGTTTATGTGTTGTGACTGCTAATTATATGGTGGATTTTTCTCTCCCTGAATGGTAAGACTGACTGAGGAATTCCCATTTTAATCAACTTAAAGCGCTTCCCAAATGCTGACTTTGCACAACCGAATGAGTTGAGAACCGGCTTTAAGTATTTTATGCACATCAAGCCAATAGATGCAGCAATAAACATGTTGAAAAACAAATGAAAAAAAGGAATGTGAGATCTAGAACAAGGAAAGGTAATTGAGATGAATTATGAAGAATGTAAAGGCAAATGCCCGTATTCGATGAAAACATATTTCTCCAAAAATTTTACTTTGAGTAATTCCCCTAGACATTTTGTTTCGAAAAAGAATAAAATTAGCAGTGTTACTGTCGCTACAAAAAACACATTAGTGTGAAGAAATATTTGCAAATCATTAACAAATATTGCTAGGTACAAGAAGACAGCCGTAAAACCCTGATGAATTTCAGGGCGCAGCAGAGTGTAAATGTTTCAATCGCTTTAATGGGTGATTCGAAGGGTGTATAACCGAACAAAGGGGGATTTGCGATGTATCCACAATATGTGACAAATATTAACATTACACTGCGACTACGCATGATATATACATCATGAGATCAAATCCCGATCTCTTTGTTGCTTCTCTTAATTGGCAGTTATGTTTTTAACATCATAAGAATGGATACTTTTCCATATATTAATTAGAAAATAGAAGGCACTATTTCACTTGCTTTAGGCCAAGTACTTACCAAGGTCTTTTGGTTCCGATCGTATATTTGACTTCTAGTACTTTAACTATTTCGACCCTGTTAGTGGCATGAAGTTGAATGATGAACGATATTTTGTAATAATGAAATTACAGAGGATCACCAGGGCCAGGATGGACCAACCTGATTATTAGCTGCTGAACTTCCCCCACCACTGTACGGTGGCAAACTCATGGGGCGTTGCGCATCTTGGCCAACAGCAGGTGAAGAACTATCAAAGAAATCCGAATGTATGCTAACACTGTGTGGACTACGTGGCACAGGTGTTCGTAACGATTCAATTGGAGAATCCATTATAGCACCTGAAGTATATTCATTTACCCTTATATTTCATATACTAACCGATGTTGTAGAAGAAACTAAGAATATATTAAATGAATTAACTGAGGATTAAGTTAAAATGAAAGTACCTATGTGAAAATTGAGGCTCATTGCTGGTGAAACAGACATCGTTGTAGTTGCAGGTACCGTTGCTGAAGATGGTCGTCCAATATTTAGAGGATTTGTGGTGCTGAGGGACGAAAAGTCCATTAATGAATGTGGATGTGTCTGTTGCGTTGCTTCGATATGTCCAGCTGGTTGTGATTGACGATGCTCGTTTTGAGGTCGAGATATATCAGACAGTGCAAATTCGGAGATGTTTTGCTGAGGTAACACATTTGTGGCAACAGGTCTGCTCAAGCTATTCGGTGAATTATCAACTAGTTCTGAGGAAGGGATTGGTCGAAACATGTTCTCCATATTTGGTTGTGTCTGTTAAATCAATAAATCCATGAAATTCAGCGATAAATTTATGAAGAAAACAAGAAGGAAGTGTACAGCTTAATAATGATGAACAAAGATACGTTTGCAATGGAATATTTTCAACGTTACTAAAATGCATTTAAACGCTTACATGTCAAGCATGTCTGTCACGATCTTCAAGATCTTAACACAATTAGATGATATTGTGAGGCAGCAGTAACAGAAGATAGTCTGCCAGGTGTACAAATGATGCTGATAAAAGCTGTATTAATGTCGGAAGAGATTTATTCAAAAATCCAATAAAAGAAAGCGAAGCCTAACCTAAAACCAACTGTATTTTCATCCTAAATCTGATTTGTAACGTCCTGACTTTTCCAAAATAATGTATCAAATTTAAGGAATTTCAACACAGACTAAGAGGATTTGAAGCTGCAAAACAAAATGCTGAATATAACTTCAAACCTTAGCTTGTGCAGCAAGTTGCGCTAACTGTTTCGCACGTCGATATCTTCGTCTATGTTGTTTACCGCTGTTCGAATTGCTATGATGTTTCTGAATATGCTCTTTCAGCTTATCTCGCCTCGAAGATGAATAATCGCAATTGTCGCATCTAAATTATCGGTTAAAGCAGTGTAGTTTCATTTAGCTCATTATCTTCGAATGAACTTAATTTTGAAGGTTTTAAACTTACTTGAAAGGTTTATCTTCCAAATGTATCCTTTCGTGTCGCACCAAATGTGATTTCTCAATAAACGAACGATTACATGTCTTGCAGTGATGCGCTCTGACCGCTAAATGAGTTCTGGAAGAAACAAAATTTACTAAACCAAAAATTATAGATAAAAAATGACAATCGAATAATACTTTATGTTGTACTAACCATCCTTAAGAGTAAGCTATATTTATTTATTTGCTATAAAATGCCTTTAATTAAAGATATTTTCGAAGGCTTGTTCTGTTATTCCAAATGTCTTTCAGTAAAATTTCTAAAACATCTTAACTACAAGCTTTTGAATTGTGGCTGGTATTGACCCTAAAACGAACTCTACGCTTGTAAAGTTTTACCAAACGTTCATCCGAGCACACTTACGAGAAATATAGTAAGTACTTCACCTTGATTCCCTTAGTTTTTAGTTCGCTTAAGTCATTTAGTGAAAAGCAACACATGATTTCTCTGAAATTTACTACTTCCTTACTCTCCCCTCCCACTGGGAAAAAAAAGCTGCACTCTGTCAGTAATGTATTATGAGGATTTTGCATCTGATGATTTACAGATACAAAAAAAAAGTTACATAAAGCTCATCAGTAAAAACAATAAAGAATTTGAAACTAAAAAAATTTTGGTAACTTTTTTGAAATATTTTTACCTTAAATGTGCAGCAAGCTGACTTTTCTTGGGTGACGAATAGGTACATTCTTCATAGTGACAGTGAAAAACATCACCCGAGTGAATACGCCGATGAGAAATCAGATGGCTTTGATATTTCGTCGAGAAATCACAATGAAGACATTGATAAGGCCTATAAGTAATGGGAACTAAATTTATTACAACCTGTTGTATGCAAAAAAAATCGAAAAGCAGTTTTGGCACACTGAGTTTTAAAGACGACGACACCTATTTTCGGAATGTGCAGCGACATGCTGATCCAGAGTACTTTTCATTGCAAATGCACGACCACATTCGGAACAGTGAAAAGGCTTATCAACGGTATGATTGCGAATGTGGCCAATAAGATGATTTCTTGAGCGACTTTTGTATTCACATAATGTACATTTGAATGGTCGTTCATCAGCTGAAACAAAATTCTTGCGTGAAAACGGACGTAGACAGCTCGGAATTTTATCGTTTATGAGAAGTGATTGAAATTTTTTAAAACTAACGTTAACCTATGGAGATACGAATATTTTGAGAAGACTGAAAGAACCATTTATTATCAGCTAAATAACAGGTTAATGCACACGAACTTACAGTGTGTTAAGCGATGCGAAAGTAAATTTTGGATGGAATCATTGCCATACTGACATATATCGCATTGGAAGGGTGGACCCTCAAATTACCATAAAACTCTGCATTAAATAATGTATATAAAACAGCTTAAGTGTCTGACGTTACTCATCAGGTCTATAATTTGCAGATATTATATTTAAGATAAATAGCGAATATATGCATATTATCCCTCGTCTTTGATAAGAAACTGCTAATCGACGAGATAACTTGCTTTCTAAAAAAACCACTCTTAAATAAGTAACGCATATACCGGGAAATGTGTTTTCATATGTTCATAGTAATCACGATTCCAGCGGCATTCATAAACGCAAAGAGAACAAACATAAGCAATGTTCTGAGTATGTGCTCGTACAATATGATGTTTGATGAGAACCGAACTTGAACTTTTGTATACACAGTAGTCGCATTTAAAGAGTTTCTCAACAGGTGCACCGTTTGTTTCGCAATTTACTTCATTGTCGGATTCATCCTGCTGTGAGCAAGGATCAACTTCATCTGCTTCATCAAATACAACCTATAAAGACGCTTTTAAGTTTAACAGATTCTATTACAAACCCATATGAAGACACAAATCGTGATTTTCTTTGGTAGAAAAAACACCTCCAAGAATTTCAGTTTAATGAGTGAAAATTTACCTGTTCATTGAGATGAATTCCGCATTCTGGATATAATTCTTCACTTACTGGTATCTCATCTACTTTCAGAGTTTCAGCCCTGACAAAACCTTTATTCTTTGGTGGTCTACCTCGCCGTTTTGCCAATACTTGATTTGCTGCAGTTATTGATTTTCGATATAATTTGTGACGACCTGCAGCAGCTGGAAAAAAAGCAAATAAAAGTAGGCTTCTGATTCTAATTCACATGCACCAGCAGTTAAAAGAATAGGAAAAGGGATAAAAGCCAGTTTCGGATAAAAAAATATCAAATTTCCCTGAAATATGATTCTCTAAAGCATAACACAATTCCCTGCACTCTTTTGCCATGATATTATGCTATAACAAAAACGGAATAAAGAACAATAAAGTTGTATTTTAACATTAACGAACCTAAAAGACGGTTTTTCCGATTTAAAATATTCATAGCATTTAAGTGAATTTTCAGCTTCAAAGCTGGACGAGAACCATCATTTGTTTCCATAGGATTTAGCTGAAATCAAAACTCATGGATTAATATACAGAATATATCTTGCACATTAAAGATTGTAACAAATACAACAGTTCTGGAAACTCATTTTACCATTAAAACTTAGTCTACATAATTATTCTGTTGTCATAGAAGTGAAATTAATGTAAAAGCTACTAAAATTCATTGTGCTATAATTCCAATAAAATTTGGTGAAAGCAGAACGTTCAAAAAAGGCGATGCTCAACAGTTTCGTAATGAAAATAAGTGAGTAAAAAAACGCAATCACCACTTCCTCAGTTGTTGAAGCACCAATGACAGGAGGTTGCCCAGTTTCTTCATTATAATTTGATTGTGTATGCACTTTGATGGCACTTGTCTCATTAGTTTCATCACCAATTCTTCCACTCTGTGAGCTTCCACTCTCCGATTTTACGCTGTAATTATCTTTCTTAAAATATCTGAAAGATATCAAAACAAAGTTACTCATCACCAACAAATTTGTGTTTATATTCCAATTCAATTCCGGATTTATTTCTCACAAAGTTCTGCAAAACAGAAGAGAAAAAGTTTGCATTTTTAATGCAAACTCAACGAAATGTATTTAAGCTTCATAAATTCATACTTCATCGTGAAGCCAGTCTCTCCTTGCGCAATACTACGCGATTGTGTTTGAGGCTGTGAACTGCTTCCATATGTCAGGTGGGCATCGTTATAAAATACCGTTCTTTCATTGCCAAATTGAGCAGTAAGAGTTCGATATTGTGCCTGGTATTTTGCCATTGGCATTGAATGTTTGCACCTTTGAAAATAAGTGGTAAAGATCTGAGAAATAAAAGAGCTGGAGTCAAGGATAAGGAAGAAGAGCGTCCCTGTTAATCATTATTAGAGTAGATTCTATATTATAACGACCCATCAGTTAGTTATAAAAGAATGCAATAGGTGGAGAACGCGACTCCACACCAAACATAAAGAAATGCTCCAGTTCTTTAGCATTTCTATATAATCACAAAACAACAAATGCGAGCAGCAGCTATCATGAAATACGTCTTTTTTGAACCAACAGTGGAGTGTTGGAAAATTTCTATAAACGTATGTTGTGTGAAGTATTTCCGTATCCTGGACACAAGGAACTCATTGAAACTATTCAAAATTAATTCAAGAGTAAAATGAAAAACTATGGAACTAAAATCATACATCATTTGCAGTAGTATATATCGTGCTGCTTGGGAATTGATAAGGAAAGACGAATAGTCCAGCAAATATTCCAAAGTAGCGGATTGTACCGATGCAAACGAACAAGAAGCTAGCATCTCCTTGAAGAGGGAATCACGTTGAGTTGGATTATGCCCAATCCAGTGAACTATTAATCTGAATTTAAAATACATGAAAACCTACCAAATCATAAAAAATTGGTAAGAAAGAACAAATTTCTTTCCAAAAGAGACAAAGTTGCCAGAAGAAATCAACAATAGGAAACTGAATGCACAATTTCGTTAACGATTCTTAAAAACGAAGCATAATTTACTTCAAATGGACATCAGGAGATATAGAATTTGCGTATTTTGGCTCAGACAGTAACGCATTCAACTGAGCTAACGAGAACTCGACGATATCCGTGCTTTCCAGCAAGCATCTGTTGATGTTAACATCGAAAAAATCGCATGCACTCTTCAGGAGAGCCGGCAGATTATATTTCAACGCAAGTTCCTTCACCGATAGACAATTTGCTGAATCCATGTAACGGTCCAAATACTCCGCGCAATAATTTTTTACTCGTGTTATCTGAAATGAAAAAGGAGAATAACAAGTTCGAATTTTTTACAATTATAATTCGTTAGTTCGGATGTGCGTTTAGCCAAGAGAGTACATCAACATATTGTATTCTAATAAGCAAAAATAATGCACTATAGCAGATATAGTACTTTTTTCTGAAGTCAAAAGACAAATTAACCAGAAAATTATTGGCGAGCTTCAGTAGATCCGTTACACTACTACGATCGATGACAACACTTCCACTATACATGTAATTGAGCAATAGTTCAAAAACTGCAGGATTCTGACAGTTCACAGTCACCTAAAACTAACTTGTAAGGATAACAGTGGTGAATTTAAGGTATAAAGCAAAAACCATACTGAACATTAAACTATAAAAATAATATGTCATTGCAGTAGAAGCGCAGTATCAGCATCAAAGCAAAAGAAGAGAAAAAAGGTCAAGGATCCAAATGCACTGAAGCGAGCCAAGTCGGATTACATGTTCTGGTTGTTGGAAAACCATTCTCGTATAGCGAAGCCTTGTATGTCTATCAGTGATATGAGCAAGACGGAGGATATCGAATGGGGTAAAGTAAAAGATACGAGCAAGTATAAAAAGACGACCAGCCAGGATAAGTAACGATATGAAGCGAAAAAGAAAAAATACAAGAAATAAAGCTGAAGACTGGAGGTAATAGTTTTCTTTCTTTTCCTCCCTCCATTACACGTTGTTTTTAAGCTGTTAATTTTAATCTCGCTTAATTTTGTTGTAGGGCATTTTTTTTTTTTTTTGCAGTAGAAGCAGCAATCCATTTCAAAATACGACAATTTTCTGTTGATATTAAGTACCAGTTGATCCGGAAATGACAAGTATCTTATAATTTTATATCTTATATGATGCTTGATCGCCTCAGTAATTATTTCAGTTTTTCTTCACATACAAACCGATGAAGAAGTTATGGTAAAATGTTGTCTGGTAAAAGTTGACTGCTCTAGTCGATACTAACCTGTTCTTTTACAACTTTCGAATTCCTCAGGATTGAGTCAAAATATGGACTGCACGCCGCAAGGATATTTCGATGTGCACAAAAATGACGATCCTTTACAACAATGTATACATCACAAAAACGTCCCGTATCACGTTGGTAACGCAAGCGTTCCAATATAACATTCCCATGTTGATCCGTAAATGACATCGGATTCAAGCTTCCATTCCCGTCCTGTGCACAAGTTGACAGCGTTGTCATTGCTCTAAAGAATATTTTATTTTATTAGTTTCGTTATGACCCAATACGCATGGATCACGAGAAATCAAAATCCATCTCTCTTAATTTAAAGACCGAAATTCTATACATCCACAAAACCACATCTTATTTCGAAATACGGGTGTCACCACAGACTGATTCTCGATTCAAGCTATAAATTATCCAAAGCAAACAAATGTAACCGTCTTATATATTCATTAACACGTAGAAACCAGAATCTGTAAGAAACAGAAGCTTAACGCTGAAGATAAATGGCGAAGCAAAAAGAACCAGACGCCACTAAACGACCACTTTTAATTACACTTTTCAATTACAAGTCGATTATACGAGTTAAATGTAAAAAAGCTATGTGGGAAATTTGCATATAACTTTAAGCTTTACTAAGTAGAGGAGTTACTGCGCATATTTCTCTAACTCTGAGTTACTCTCAGTCACTCTTATGGCTATCTAACCATTCCCTCAGTTCATTTCTTTTCTTCAACCCGTTTTCCATCACGACAATCCTTACAACACAACGGCTATCCAAGAAATTTCCAATCCCTACAGACGTGTTATTTTGTTAGTCCTATGTTTTTCAATTTTGCCGGCTTATTGGCCTCTCGTCCCTTTAATTTTCAAGTCACTTCAAAAGTGGGTCTCCAATTCCACGTAAGCATTCCACTCCCCGACATCGACTTCGTGGGAATACGTTGTAGCATTCCAGCGTGCGCAACGAAACGTGAAACGAAATATGGATAATTGCGATTACGTTGGTGAATTGGTGTCTTTATGGGCAGATGTTGTACGAAGTGTGGTGTCACATAGATTTACGTGAGAAAGGAGGCGATTTTGAAGGTTATCGTGACAATGATAACATCACTTATTGCAGGATATTTAAAGACTTAAGTAATTAAACGGAAGTTTTAATTCACATTTACTACATCATTTATTGATGTTATCATTATTACATAAGGCAGGTGGGCTGTATTGGTCATTGCAAGGACTGCATTGATATGAAGGTATTCCTTTTATTTCATTAAAGTTTTGACATTAATTACCATCGTCAGTTGGTTGAATTTTACCACTCGTGGGTAATTAATGTTGAAGCATTCAGGTTCAAATTGATGAATTTAATAAGATTAGTTAGGGAGAGTTGTCGTCTAAAAGTTGTCATCTAATAAATTGTCATCTGATTAATCAGTCCCTTGAAACTTCAGAAATTGGGTGCTTTTCGAAATTTATAACTTTGCTGCTAAATAGTGTTCTTTGTTTTTTATTACTTCCTGTAATGCTTGCAAACTATTCTTTTTCTCCTAATTTATGTTGGATTATAAGAAATTGAAATGTATGATATTTGATATAGGATGTAATTCCGGAATACAAGAAATTCCTGAGGCACTACACTTACTAAGCTTTCCGATGGAATTTTAAAACTTCATGGTAATTTTGAGCTCATTTCACAGGAAACAGTAGCTCTAGTAACCGGTGGAGCGTCAGGTCTTGGTAAAGCGACGGTCCAGCATTTACTGAAGCATGGTTTCAAAGTGGCTATGTTAGATCTTCCATCTTCAAATGGTTCTTTCCTGTCGAAATTGATAAATCGGGATTGTTTATACGTACCAGCTAATGTAATATTCAGTTTTAACCGGAAATCTCTAGGTTTTCAAATTTCAGATATACTTCAGATGGACAAATTTTTGTTCCGTTTTTCCGTAAAAATGACATTTCCCAGCTGGTTTTCCAGTTGTAATTATCGCACATTTAGATAGCAATTGATAAGGAAGTAAAGAATGGTATGTTGAAAGTAAGGGATAAATTTGGGCATTTGAACGCTCTAATCAACTGTGCCGGAATCTCCTTCAATTTCAAAACATTCAGTTTCAATAAAGAAAATATGAATCAGAAATCAACAGCAAAGTCGGATTTGAATAAAGTGTTGGCAGTGAGATTTTTTCGTATTATTGAATCTTAAATCCTAGTCGCGAATTTAACTTTTGCTGTGGTTTATTTACTGTTACACATCAACTGTAAGTTCTTTGGTTAGTATAAAAATATTCTACATGATTGATTCACTAATTCTTATTCGTGTTGCAACATTCGTAAATGTTTATTATGTTGCATTTTCTATTAAGGTGAACGTTGTCGGGACACTCAATGTTATTCGACATGCACTTGATTTAATGGCGCAAAATGAGAAAGATGAATCGGGATGTCGAGGCATTGTCGTCAACACGTCATCGTTCTCATCGTTTGAACCACAGTTTGGTCAAGCAAGTTCTTAAATTTGTGAGACGGCAACTAGATTTCATTTTTCGAATCATTCCTGATTAAAATTAATTTTATTGAATCAAGTTCAATGTAGTGTCGTCTTGTATTCCTTGTTACTTTGCAAATCGTCATATCTTCGAAGTAATAACCTTATTGTAGCAACAATTTAGGGGTTTGATGCAATGTCTTCTGGAGCTCTGAATAGTGCTACACTAGCGTTGTCAAGAGATCATGCTTCGGATGGTATTCGATTTGTGGCAATTGCTCCGGGCATTTTCCGGACACCCTTGGTGATTTCCCATATGAATGAATTGGTAATTGATTCACTAATTCTCATAACTGATTTTGTATTATAGAATAAACGGGATGCCAAAAAATTAAGCATCAATTTTATAGAATGTGGAAACATATGAAAAAATGGTGGAACTTCCTGCGCGATTAGGCATGCCAGAAGAATTTGCTGCTCTCGTGTTGCATGTTATTCAGAATAGTTACTTGAATGGCGTGGTCATACGTCTAGATGGTGCGCTTAGGATGCCACCGTAAACTGTTGTTCATTAGATAGATCTATGAATCGATACGTCATTATTCATTTTAGACTTTAACGTGTGAATGTTGCTTACATGGTCTGTATATTGATTTTGTTTTGTTGTAAATGTTAACTGTTGCTATTTTTTCTTTCTCATTTGATTTCTATTATCAATAAAGTTGGTAAACCAACAGTCTGATTTATTTATCCAATGTTTGTGGTCAGAATTTCATATGTGCAACACGAACACGTGAATTATCGATTTTCGCAATGATTTCAAAAATTTGTCCAACAAATTTAAAAACCCAGAAGTTTTTGCAAGGACTGCATCATAACTGACTTACAGCTAGCTCGAACAATCGATGTTTTGAGTGGTGGGATCGAATTTCTATCCTACTGATTCTGTTGCTAATTCTATTCACTCCTCGGTTAAGCGAGGTTGTCCGTTAACTTATAGTAACGGGGCTGGGATGTTGACGGACCGCATGTTTTATCGTAAAATTTTGTTGGGCTGTAGGTTACACAGAGTTTGTGTGGAGTTTTGTCCGTTTCAGTTGAAAATTCATAAGCTTTTATCATTCCGGTTTGTTGTACGGTTGGGCTTAATCTGCTTTGGAAATCGGCAGGAACAGGTATAGAATCGTATATCATTTCCTGCGCAGGTTATTTAGCAGAAGTTGGTAGTCCTTTGAGTGCAAGTAAGTCAGATCAGTGACTCCAGTAAGTTGCTCTACATGGTTTTCTTTTTTCTGTAGTAGTGTTTGGTTTCATGGTAAGTTCATAATGTTTATGACTTGTATGTTGTAGTCATGAAGTGAAAAGTACTGCAGAATAATTTCTGCGATTATGTGTACTGCTTGTGGAGGATAGTTCCACAATTTTTGGTTTTCGAATTACTAGTTAAGCCACGTGAATAGGGTGCAGTAGTAGAGTTAAAATACTGGTGTATACCTGGATAGAAACTTCAGTGGTTAGAGGAATTTTTTATGCTTAGAAAAATTTCATCTCTTGACTAGTTATGAGTCTGTGTTTTTATAGTATCCTGGAAGATTAAGCAGTGGAGTACTGTTTGTTCACCATGTCATGATGCTTAACTTTTAAATAGTACTTGGAGCTCTCTTTCAAATTCGATTGAATCGTAGTTTCAATTTTGATATATTTCGGAGTGGTTTAGATTTCACTCGTCTCAGGGGTTGGTAGAAATTTTTTCGTTGCCCTTCCTATGAAATAAATCTTGTTCTCAATGGATAGTTATGTAATTAAAATCCTCGAAATGGATAACGTGTTATGAAAGATGCATGACTTATTAGTTGCTGTCGTGATTCTTCATTAGAAAGATAAGTTTTGTTGCAGGTGTGGTGTAAATTATGGCTACATATTTGGCTTCTGTGAAGGTATGGCTTTGAGAAGTTTTATATGCGTCATTTCTCCAAATACTTTGATTTATTAAGTTAGCATAGGATTCGTTGACGTTTTTCAGGGCATTGTGGCATTAATTACCGGTGCTGCGTCGGGCCTTGGAGCTGGTACAGCGCGGTATCTTCTCGAACATGGAGCCAAAGTGGTCATTATGGATTTGCCACAATCGAAGGGTGAGATACTGGCGAAGGAAATGGGGCAAAATTGCTTGTTTACTGCGGCTGATGTGAAAATTTCGATTTTCAATCTTTATTTTTTTTTGTGGTGAAGTTGTTGAAATACGAAAGCAGTGATGATTTGTAGGTTAAACGAAATTTGAAAGGTATTTTTTATCCAATGAACTAAGCGTCCATGCATCATTCAGCTGCTTGATAATTTAAAAGTGACAAAAGTGAAGGGGAGATGAAATTTGTGCTGAAATTAAGTATGTAGAGTTCAAGCATAATAAAGATAAAATAAGCATTTGTTTCTACCTAATATTTGAAATGATGTTAGACGTTCGATTTTCAGGTGCGGTCTTCAACTGAAGTATCAAGTGCATTCCACACTCTGATCAATAAATTTGGACAGTTGGATGCTGTTGTGAATTGTGCTGGTGTATCATATCCATTCAAGCTGTACAATTTGCAGAAGAAAAAAGCTTGTGATGCAGAACTTATCCGCAAAACATTTGATGTAATAACTTCATTTTGTACTTTAATCGTTCATCAGTACGAAATATTTTCCAAATCTTGTGCTTTTCAGATCGAATTTGTACCGAAATTCAGGTATCATGCGGGAGAGACTAATGGATGTAAGATTACAGTGAGTAAAATCTTTTCTCTGCTACATTATTCCGATTTGTTTAATTTTAGGTTAACGTTTTCGGTACTTTCAACGTTATACAGCATGCTCTTGAAACATTTGCGCTTAAGAGCAAAGACAGCTTGGGTTTTCGTGGGGTTATCATCAATACAGCATCTATAGCAGCTTACGATGGGCAAGTAGGACAGGTACATAATTTTTTAAGCTTTTATTGGAATTTAAAGGAGTGATGTGGCAAATGAGTTACGGATGGCTAAAACAGATAGGTAATGCAATATTTAGTAATTTCTTTAGTTTGAAAACATTTAATGTCAGGAATTATGTTTCTCATTGTAGAGTGCTTACGCTGCTTCCAAAGGCGCCATTGTAAGTGCAACGCTTGCGTTTGCTCGTGACTATGCCGAAGATGGAATACGATTTATGACAATTGCACCGGGACTTTTTGACACTCCACTGATGAGTGGACTTCCTGAAAAGGTAACAGTCCAATATACATTGTTACTTTCCACTGAATAATTGATGGAATTTGTCTTTGTTGTTTTATAAACATTATTGATCATAACGTTCCAGGTACGAACTTTTCTAGCCGACATGATTCCACTCCCGAATAGGTTGGGTAGTCCAGAAGAATTTGGCGCCTTGGTACGTCATATCATTGAAAATCGGTACTTAAATGGCGAAGTGATACGTCTTGACGGTGGCTTGCGGATGCCTCCTTAGGTCTGTAATAATGCATGATCGATTCGAAATTTACCCTCTTTTTGTAAAGGAAAAATATAATTGGAATAGTAGTCGGAAATAGTAAAGAGGGGTTCACAAATATAAGAAATGTTTTAAGATGAAAACATTGTGCAACGAACCGTCATATTATATATCCGCCCATATTTACAATAATTGTTTGTCTGTTATCCGGTGAGCAGTTACTTGTTTATTGACATTCATTTCTTGGTAAACTTTTGTAGTGCCTTTGTTCATTTTGTTTCGTACAAATGTTCTGCTCAACGGTTGTTACATAAATACGTTGTTAATTTGTCACGTCTGAATAAAGCTCTAATGTTTGATTCATTTTCTTTTAGTTGTGATCAAAAGTTATGCTTCTTTGCAAAGAAGTACTTTTCATTTCAATATTTAATTGTTGATTTGTAAAGGTGCAAGCAACACGAGATATCCAGAGCAATAACCTTGTCGTCGGTCTTCATGTGGTGTGAGATTTTGTTGGATTTTAGGATAAGCAATATGGTTGCTATTGTTGCAATGAAGACTGACTTAGTCAAAACACAGTGACGTACCTGAATCATCGGTAGCTAGGGAGTTCTGTATGAACATCGAAAGGAAGCCCTTATTGTTCTGGTTATCTATTGCTTTTATTTTTTTAATGTGATTTGGTCTATTCGTGTGCTTCGTTGGACAAGTCTTTCGTTTTTTTTCTAGGTTGGTCTACTTAGGATGTCGAATTTTTCAAACTGGAAAACCACACGCCGCTACGGCGAACCATCAAAAAAAGATAAAGCAGCTGCACTTTTCGATTCTGTATTTGCCAATCAACCGAAAGCATCCACTTCTTTGGCAAGACCCCTAGATTTGAATCCGTAAATTTTTGTGTATTCGTTAATTTTACCCAGGGTCATTTGCATTTATTGCATCAGATAAAAATGGAATTTTCAAATTTGGTGGGTTCGGTCCTTGGGGTTTCAGACCATAATAAAGAAAGCATCCTTAATTCAATTTACGAGACGTTTTTGACGTAAACAAAGTACACACAAGATTTCCAAGCTCTTTTTCCTGTTTAGTTCTTCGAAACCTCCATCTCCAAAACGGGATCAAGCTCATACTGAGGTGAGTACACCAAGTCCATCAAGCTCGTTCCTTTCTCCAACAGTCAGCATTCCAGACTTCGAAAAGGTTTGTTCCAGCATTTTTATTCGCTTTAATTTTCGAAATGTCTCATTTATAATATCGCAGTTGCTACTACTTTTTTTTCACAGAAACACAAACATTACAAATGGCGAATGAAATTTTTCAGTGGAAAAGCTTGCAATACTATCTTCACGTTGAAAAGGAAAATTTATTGTTAGGTTCAGGTATGCAGTGGGGGAAGACTTTTATATACCGCCACAGTCATGTGTGATCAATGACTTGGATGTTTAGAATAGATGCATTCATTCATTGAAAGAATTTAGCAAAAATTTCTAGATCTACTTATCACTTTGTTATTCTGTTTACCTTAATAGTAGACTAAATATGTTTACTTTTTCAGTCTGATGAAAGCGGCGAAGAAGAGGGCAGTAACAATAAATTTGGAAGTAGTCATTCATCTACATGTACGCTAAATATTTCCATGACGCATGCGACAATTTCTGATGGTAAATCCTCCAGTTCATCACCTGTCAAGCAATCTTCTGATTCAGATGCAGATCGACAAAAAACTGGAATTCCCAAACACTTCACTGAATCTAATCCGCAACGCAGTGATATTTTTTGCTTCGAAATAGAGGACGAGGAAGATGAAGACAACGAAGATAGTAATGAGATAGCCCCCCAAGCAAAGCGCGCAAGATCGGAAGAAGAACGTACCAATTCCCAAGGTGAAATGAAACGTTATTTTATGGATAAGTTCGGAATTTTCATAACTGAAGTAGTTCATGTTGCATTAATACATGAATTTTCAGGGGAAAGTAAAGTTCGTGGAGAGCTTATTTTGCAACCTTAGTGGGTTGGACCCAGTCATAATGATTAGCGGAATGACATGTGGTGTTGAATTTTTTTTATATGTTAAAACTTTTTGAATGTGTAAACCAGTGTGTTGTAGAAAAAATATCTCCTTATTTCAGAAAGAGTAGGAAGTTCAGGAAAAGGATATCCTCTGGGAATTAAAGCTACATACAAACACAGGTGGATGTTGGATGACGATGACGATAATGAGGATATTGAGTTGCGTCCGAAACATTCTGATGCGGGTTTAATAACTTCTAAAGCGGAGGTATTATATCGTTTTCGTAGTTTGGTTGTGATGCTTCATAAGTTATGAAGCTATTGGTATTTGGACTCCGTTTTAGAAGTTCTTATTGACAAGAACAAACTTTTGTAAACAAATTACTTTTTGTTTCTTAATCTTTAATACTTAAATTATTGAATTATCAGGGCTGTGGTATGGGTACTCCAGCAAATTTAAACACCGTTGGTCTATCAGATACAGTGGATCGTAATAGAAAAGGCGATCGAGCACATGTTTGGATTCGTGATGTTAAGGAGGCGCATGAATGCTTAAAGTCGGGTGAACAGGATGATTTCAGTGACGATGTGAAATATATTTTAAGTACTCTTCTGGATCCTTCATCATCGAACAATCTGAAATGTTTAAGGTAGTAAAATTCGGCATGTTTTTCTGCATCCTATAAGGTTAATGTCTTATTTCCAGATTGATTAATGTATGGAGAAATTTTGCATCATAAACAGTCTAAAATAGTTCATTATCTTCAATTAGTCATTTGTGTTCTTTTTTTCATAATTTAGCGTCATGTCACTGGCAAAGAAGTGTGTTTCGAGCGAATTTCGACGGTTTTTCCGATCTAACAATTTGATCAGTCGGACACTGAAAGCAATTCCGGACTCGCCAAAGTCACCAGTAATTTAGCCATCCAGTTTTATATTCTTGACAACTTTTTTATTTTGCACATAAAGATGAAGAAGGAAGTTGTTTTAGTGGAACATATAATGCATATATGAAGCTACATGTAGATGTTATTGTTCGGCCGAACTCTTATCACATTTCAGAGTTTGGCACTTTGCATCTCAGTAGTTGTTTATTTGTTGTCTCGCGATACCACTTCTGTATTCGTTGATGGCGCTGCGCTCCGTTTGTTCAGTCAACTGTTAAAATTGGAACATCCTAATCCGAATGAAGATTGCGTGAGATATTCGAAAATGGTAGATATTCGAAAATGGTTCAGAACTTAACTGATTACTGCATTAGACAGATGTGAGGTTATAGGTTTTATGAACCTTTTATGTTATCGATTAGTGTTGTTTTTAAATGATCTGACTTTCTTCCTAGTCTGAGTGTTTGAAACCTACTTGCTTTTTTGATGCGCGCTGCGATGTTTACATGTTTTGACGTACAGATGAGTGTTCCAGGTGATGGATGTATTAAAAGAATGGTTGGAAAAATCGTTTGCAAATACAGAATCAAAGAAAGTTCAATTTGATATTACGGAAAAAACTCTTTCAGTAAGATTATTTAGTTATTAATTTCTTGCTCTGTGTAACTATGAAAGCTTTTCATGTGTAACACATTATAATATTATTTCAGCCTTCGTTTCTTATTTTGGAATCACTTGTTTACATATGTGCACGTAAACATCGTGAACAGTCATTGCAGAGTGAACTGTTGAATGTGGGCATACTTCAGTGGATCGTTTCCAAAAGTATTACTACTAATTTAGTTTGTTCTGTATTTACTACTTCTTGTAGTTATTGAGTTGGTGGATTATATATTTAAATACCAGTAAAACCCTTGTGGTTTGTAAAATGCTATGCTTTTAGCTTCTCTCTGAAAAGTATCTGGGTGTATTGGTAGGTCAGTTTGTACAGTTACTCTGATTTTTTTTTTT